ACCCTCAGAAACTGAGGATGCCAAAACATTCTTACCTTCTAGCAGTTTGTAACATACACTGCATCAGAAGGCAAAAGGCTTGAGAATAATTTGTGCATTCTAAATTGTTCAAATAAGCTTTCAGCAACTCATTTAACATTACAGTCTATATTTATTTTAGCCTGTACCCATAGATGCAAGTATGAACACAAAGGTCAACTAATGCTCCCACTAGTGTCCCACAGCATACTGGTAACATTTAAAGGTCTCCCAGAAGGAGCAGCCTTCACTAAAAAACAGTACACACAGGTACAGGACGTGGCAACTAAAATGGTTACAAGTCCCAGACCCAACATTCACACAGGGTAAAACTGCAGCACTTAGGGCACTCTTTAAAAAAGGCTAGATTAGCAATGCTGCTGGTTTTTGGCTCTACTTCTCCCATTTAAATCATCTGCAACAGCCTAGTCTCATTTTCTTCCTCTACAGAAAAAAAAAAGTAATTACCTATAAAAACACTCTATTAGAGAAAAATCAAATGAATTTTTGAATTAAGATTACTATTTACAGAGCAGATGGCTACAGTTGGTAATTTATCCTTGAAGAGGGGAAGTTCTCATTGGCAAGGGTGGGTAAAAAGCTGGAAGGGACCAGGAGTTGACCAAACAGCATCTAGGACCTAATTCAAGTCACTGGTTCACATGAAACCTTTAGTAGTAATCTTTGCCTACAAACTGTGTTAGCTTGTCTGCAAGAATGTCACGGGTGACAGCCTCAGAAACCTTAGTAGAGTCGAGATAAACAATCTACAGCATTCACCTCATTCACCATGCCAGGCATCTCATTGTAGAAGACTAACAGATTGGTTACAGATTACTTTCTCTTTGATTGGGCTGACTACGCCCAATCACTGTCTTGTCCTGCATGGGTTTGGAAACTGTTTCCACCAGGATTTTCTTCATCACCCTCCCAGTGACTAAGATGTAGCTGACCAACTTGTAGTTCCCCTGATTCTCACTGGAAACAGGAGTGACATTTGCTCTCTTCCATTCACTATTATCTTTCTAAGATAACTGAGGATGGTCTCAAAATGAAATCCAAGCACCTGCCTCAGCACTTGTAGGCACAGCTCATCAGGCACCACAAGACTTGTGTATGTCCAGTTTGAACACTTCCTAACCTGGACCTCCTCCACCAAAGGTAAGTCTTCCTTCTTCAACTTTTTCTCTGGTCTCAAGAGCATGAGATTTCTGAAGCTGGTCTTACTGGTAAAGAATGAAGCAGAAAAACTTATTGAGTACTTTGGCCTTTTCCATACCAGTTGTACCCATTCAGCAGCAGGTTCATATTTTCCCTAGTTTTCCTTTTGATATTCATGTACTTGTAGAATCCTTTCTTGTTGCCCTTCAGGTCTCTTGCCAGACTCAACTCCACATCAACCTTGGCTTTTCTAACCCCTATTATTGCAACATCAAACAGCAATTCTATACTTCTCTTGTATTATCAATCCCTGCTTCCAAAAGGAATCCCTGATTCCTTTTTATGTCCAAGTTCAATAAGGAGCTCCTTTTTCATCCATGCAGGCCTCCTGTTGCCCTTGCTTGCTTTCCTACTTCTTGGGATGGAACTTTCTTGAGTCTGATCCTTGAATACTAACACGTTTTCCTGTATCCTCTTCTCTCCAGGGCTGTATCTCAACAGAATTCTTCCGAGATGATATCTGAAGAGGTTCAAGTCTGCTTTCATAAAGTTCGGGCTGTGATCCTGCTTTTTGACATGCTCCATTCACTTAGGATTCTGACCTGCATCATATCAGCTAAATAAGCCAGTAACAACAATTGCGCTGAAGTTCTTCCATGCTCAAGGACAGGCTACATATCCAGACATTTACTAAGTACTTAGTGAATGGCACTGATTAAGAAAAGGCTTACTATTTTTCTTTATTCTGAATTAGTTTTTCCCCAAATCCACAATTAGAAGTCTATAGTCTCTTTATGGTGAAAAGCAAAGTAATAGAATTAATTTGGATAATACTCTCACAGGAAGTGAAGCCTTTGGGACAAGAAATCTCAGATAAAGCTGTATTACCCTGGTGCTTTTTTGATAAAGAGATACAAAATTCCATTACCATTAGCTGTTTGCAGACTTTTAAAGTTACAGCTATTTGTTCCTAACAGAACAAATGAAGACCAGGATACTCCACAGGAAAAAAACCAGCCCTAACAAATAATACCACTCTGGTCTGCTGCTTCTGTCTCCACTTGTTGTTCTAGAAAACCTACTTAGACAGGGTAAGGAGCAAAACATAAAATGCAAAAGCAGCATAACTGAATAAAAGTCTTCCTTTCCCCCAAACTCAAGTTCCAAAATGAGTTAATTCAAGTCTTGAGCTGAAAGAGATGTCACTTACATTAAATAAACAATAATCTAAAAATGAAACTCTGTATTTCATAACTCATTCATATTTGACAGCACTGTTCTTCAAAAAATGCTGTTGCTTAAGCCAAGCAATAATCTGCCTCATAAAAGGAACACAGAAATAGCTGCCATTTCAGTTATCTTCAGAATAAACTTGAGTTGCAGGGAAAAAATTAGCTTTTTTTCCCCACACACATCTTTTGATGTATAAGAATACCTTCTAATACTTTCATATTCAAGACAACAGAATTGGCTGAAATATGGAATCCTTCAGCAGGTATCACCCTACAGCTGAAATAAAGTAATAATCACTTCCCCCAGGAACCACTGCCTAAATGATGTTTTCACTGCCATATGCCTTCTTCCAGGAAAAGCTCATGTGAATGGTGGTAAGAGAAGCTTCATGGTTCTCGAAGTCCTAAGGAAAGACAGACCAACTGAATTTGCAATGTCAGTTGAGAGGAGTCATCTGCCTTTTGTCTTAGGGAAAGTTAGCCAGTAGATATTATTTTGAGTGTCTAAGAAATAGGACACGCAAAATGGTCTTGGACTGCAAAACTGAACGCTTTTTAGTTCAGCAATATATTTCTTGAGCATATTGTAAAGTGTCTTCAGTTTACAGAATTATTAAAATATTCTGAACGCACACTGGTGTCCCTTTCATGTTCTTGGCTTCCAAGGTAAGGTTTGGGTTTGGGGTTGTTTTGCTGCTGGAGAGGGTAGGGGTGGGTTGAATGTCAAGAGAACTACTCATGACATTTTTTAAATGGCCTCTTTCCAGGCTGAAAATCTTTATTTAATCAGTAAACATTACTCTCTTTGTCACCTATCTAAGCCTTTAAATACAAGATAAGCTATTGATGCATTAATTAGAAGTCTGCTTCTCTGTATGGAAAATGCATTTGATTCTGGCTTGTTTCTATATGACAGAAAGTTTGTATTTCTTTTTCAACTATTTCAGCTTTACCTTTTTCACATTTCTAATATTTGACCAACCTGAAATTTCACTAAGGCAAATGGTGTTTTGCTCCATTAGCTCAGGTTACAGAGTTTTACAATAATGCCTGAAGAAGAGTAAAGTATAATTCAAGAATTATCAGATGAACCATTGAAAGTAATCAAGTAACTTACACAATAGAAATCAAAATTCACAGGCTGTACTGTGCTTTGTACAAAGCTTTACTAATTTTAAAAAATAGTTTAAAAAAAGGAAAAACAAGACTAAAATAGTTATGTATCATCAACATTAAATAATTGGACACTCTCTACTGCCTTACATTGTTGTGTCCAGGTATGACAGAACCAGCTTCATAACACACCACTGTCATGACAACAGGAAAGTTTCCTTCAGATTATTTCATACATCATCTCCACAGGATCACAATTTAAAACAAAGAACAACAATCCAAGAAACAAAAAACCCTCAGTGCTGTCAAAACCGATTTTATAGCAGCAAGAATATAATCTAGTACTGATGTTAAAAGGGGATTTCTTATTTCCTCCAAAGGCAGAAATATGAGCAAGAAAGGTCACTGGATAAATCCTGTGTAAAGTGACCGACAGCAATGTGGCCACCTCTGAAATCCACAAGTGACCTTGACCTTACAGTGATAAGCACTTTAAAAGGATAGCAGTTTTATCTGTTAAGTCTCTTCATACAGAATTACCATGGACACTACACTGAACACAATACAGTGGTTTGTTCAGTCCATGGACATCATGCGTTTCTAATGCCTCACATTGCACTGAACACCTGAATGCTGTGTTTCAATGCAACACTGCTAGATTATAAAAAGCTTTAGGCACAATCCTAACATACATTTCAACAGCTGGCAGCACAGCAACAACATTAAGACAAGGTAAATATTTAATCAAGCAAGTGCACTTCTTTTGCAATGCAACAAATTCTTGCAAAATTTTACTTGGTACCAGCATTTTGACAGTAATGCACATTTTCAGACATAAAATAAAACATTTAAAGATCAAATTCTACCTTCATATACAAACACTTAATTTTTACCAAATTTGAAGAAATTATAGTAATGTGTTTCAAAGTGTGAAATTTCTGAATCAATTTTTTCTCCTAAGACACATGTAATAAAAATACAATTAAAGCTGGTTTTTATTTTGCTATGAAATTTCTCTGTACTTAGCAAAACAAATAAGAAATGAGGAGAACAAACTGTTCTCGGGTGCTAAAGAAGAACAAGCTGCCATTAGTCTGAAATAAATTACATTTTTAGCAAGTGGACTTGTAATGGTAGCTGTAATCTTCCAGAACCTTTTTTCTTCAAGTCATTTTAAAAACATTCCTTTTTAAAATCAGACTTCATTTAAAAGTTCACATTTATTTCCCTCTCAACATATTAAAGCAGAAGAAACAAATTATACCAGAAACAGGCATTACCAGACACTCCTTTCCACTAAAAAGAAAATTACGACTTAGAAAGCATTTTAAAAAAAGCTCACATCTGAATAAACTTTCATGCTTGCATACTTTATAGAAAACATTTAGATAATCTTTACGTTACTTAATACGAGGAAAATAAAATATCTGTTGAGTAATAATGTCAGTAAAAATACTTTCATTTATATACACTTACTGCAATCTCTCTACAGGCCGACATGGAAATCCCTGTACCTTCAATTTGCTTCAGTGCATACTCCTTTTCATCTTTTCTGTACACACACATACACAAAAAAAAAAAAAAAGAGAAGAGTATGTTTAGCTCTAACTTATATTACACCAATCAATACAAGTTTAATGAAATATTTTAATTTCGTCTGGATCAAGAAGCTGAAAAGCCAATCTGCTTTTATGTATAAATTATACTTTGATAATAAAAGCAAGTTTTCTTTTAACAAAGACTTTATAAATCCCAAACCAAAACTTCTGTGTAAAGAAACTTTGTTAACCTGTATCTATTTCTCTCTGAAAACACAGATAATATCTGCAAATAACTGCAAATATATCTACAGAGAATTTTGGAAGACACTTCCTGAAATTCCAGGATAGTGTCTACTACTGTGAAAACACCACATTAGTATCCCATGCCTGGAAAATTCCCAAGCAGATAAAGTGTTCCACTGTGTTTTGGAATTTGGTGCAAGAATGATTTCTAAGGAAGCAAGACCAAGCATGTTTAGGCTACAGGCTTGAAGGGCCTCTTTTCCCCAGAGCCTTCTGCAGCTAAAACTAAAGGAATGGGTTACTTTGAGGTGATATAAAGATAAATACATTCTCATTCTATACAGATCGTTTTCTACAGAGAAATGGGAATTACAGCAACTTACAACAAGCTTTGCAACTACCCCCAAAACATTCACCCATTCAGACATCCAGATGTAAATCTTAACAGCCAACATAAGATTGGACCCTCCTCTTCTAAACAAACTTTTATTCATCTATGAAAGTTGAAATGAAATAGCCTCATATCACAGTATTTTGAAACATAACTTACAAATCTGTACTTGGGGTGAGAGAGGACACCACCCAAAACTTTTCAAGGCTAAAGCAAGCCTAAAAAGTTACCATTACTAAAATTAGGCCAAATACTGCATTAACAGCTCATGAGAGCTGTTCACCAAGTATTTCAAGAATAACTTCAGAAGCGGGCGTGTCTGCTTCCTAAGCAGAAGAATTCACCGGGATCTAATGACATGATAATTCAGATTCCTTCTTTGCTCCCTGCTGAGCAGCTTTTTATTTTCATGAATTAGTCATTTAGAAGAGCTTAGCTCAAGATGTAGAACCAAGAAATGTGTAACTTCACAGGTAATAAGATCATACCTTATCTAACAGAAATTGCTTTTAATTTCATTAATTAGTCCAAATTTTAAAGAGTAAATAATAACTGCCCATTCCCTCTTATATATGGTTCTGCTATCTACACAGAAGATTTACATACACTGCAAAGTATTAACTCCATAACTGAGATCACTTACTGAGAACGTGAAGACAAGGTTATATTTCCGCAGAACCAAAACCATCCCCGGACATTTAAAACTGATCATGGCTTTTAAACTATGGTCATGTTTAAGCTATGTAGCACAGAATAATCCCACACACAACTATCAGATAGAATCCCAAAGCAATGTAGTCACTACAGCACTGCATTATATACTTCTTCTGGCACATCTGCTTAACTGGGCACAGGACCTCACTGATACAGCTATCCTTGAACTAGTTCTACAGATGCAAAGCATTGCATCCAGTTACTCAGACCTTCACAGATCAAAGGTCACTGTAGAGATCGGGAGCGCAGCTTGGCACACGCTGCCTTCAACAGCATTGCTTAGCACCACCACCACTGCCAGCCCGTCATAGCTTGACAGGCAGCCACTCCAGGCAGGCTTTTAAGATGCAAACAAGAAATTACGAAAGATGTTAAAACAAAAACTCAAAAACCAAACAATCCAACAACTTAAGGTATTATGGCACATGGGAAAAGAAGGCAGACTTACTGAGCTGATAGTTCCAGAACACTGGGTTTTGTGAACAATGAGCAAAAATAGGAATAGTTAAATACTTAGCTAAAATAAATAGGTGTCAAGGATAAAGAACTCCAAAGTATAATATTCTAGATCTGACAAAATTTATTAATTTTCTTTTTTTTACCAACAGCTATGGAATCATAAACACAGCTTCCTTTAAATACCATTCACTTGCTCTGGCAGAAATGCAAGGCTATATGAATGCTTTTCCAAAGTTAACTGTTCTTATTATGCAAACATAATAGCTGATTAAAGAACTTTCTAAAAGCGGTGTTTCAGCTAATAATATTTCCCATTCAACAGTAATCTCAAGATATTTTGAGAAAGAAAGAAATATATTCGAAACTTCAATACCAAGTCAGTCAATGCAATCTGATGAAACACACAATGCTGGTTATTCAATAAAGTGTCCAAAAAAAAAGAAACCACCCATAGGTACTTTATTAGCCATTTGCCCACTTGTAAGAATTCAATAAATAACATCAAATGGTGTGTGTGATAGGTAAGTATAGTGTTCACTCCCTAAAGACCTATTTTCTTATGAAACACTTGAGACGGGGAAGTTTTTCTATTTCATGTTGACTACACAGGAAAACTCTAGTGAACTCTGAGCACATTTCAAGAAATTATACAGCATTACACAGCATGAAAGTTTTTATAAATCCATTTCTGACAGATCCTATATCAATACATTTTTTTACTAGAGTGAAGCAAGCATGATTAAGTTTGAAAACCAAATCCAAACAACAACGAACCACATAGCTCCGGTCTGAGGCAAAAGACCAGCCATGCTGGTAATAGCCAAGCAGAAGCAAGGTCTCTGTCTGTAACCATTTTCATATGGTCCACAGAAACACTGGCTTGGGAACAGGTCAACTAACTTGAAGGTCCTGCTGTGTGGGGGTTTGTCTGAGGGCAGGGAGCAAGTGACATAGACCAAGATCATAGACTACTCTGAGCAAAAAATATAGCAAAGGAGAACTGAAAGGGAACTCTGTACCTTAAAAGGCTGTGACTTAAATTTTATTAAAGCTTTTCAAAACTGATGCAGAAGAACTTGCCTGATAAAAAAAGTACCACGTCACACCACCACTAGGCCTCTCTACACTTCAAGTCCCCTTAACCAAAACTAGGGGTTAAACATTAAAATCAACATTGCTTCTAGTTTCAGAAGCATTACAACTCATGCTATTTTAAAAGGGATTAACTTTTTATGAAAATGAAACTGCTGATATGAGATACTGCCCTCCTGAAAAATTCCCATCTGTGTATTTCAGGTTGCTGTAGGCAGCATCCAAATGCAAGGGTCCTCATGCATATCAGCAATTATTGAGAACATCCCTTCATTATAAAAACTTCATCTTCGAGATCAAGCTCTTCTCCCTCACGAATAAATATCCAATTCTGCAATCCCTAAGGTTAATGTTAACATTTTAATTTGTACAATGCAAAGCAAAACTTTCCCTCTTCCCCCAAAAAACTGTACTCAGGGGTTTATGTCCAGCTGCAGTATTCAAAATGGAAAATGAAAATATGATTACTACTTCTTCTGGGTAACACTTTCAGTTGCCATTTTCCAAATGCTTTGGAAAGAACAAAGTATCAAATTCACTTTAGAAGAATGCAGTTCAGAAGATTTAGAGTAATTACATTTCAAAGGAGCTAAACTGTCTTAACTATGGCAATTGTACTTCAGAGACCTCCCATCATATGAGAAACTACTTTACAAACAAGTCAGTGGAAAACTAGAAACAACTTGCCCAAGACCATTAGAAAAATAGGAGGATTTGAAAATAGCACATGGTTCAAACTATTGTTTTATCCCTATTACTCAAATTTTAAAACTTTCCGTGATGGTTCCTCTTGAATTCACAAATAATTTAACATAAATTCAAACTTCAGAATTCATTATCCACATCAAGGAACTAGCTTGAAAGACTGCAATCACTCTGAAGCTACAACTGTGACTATCACATAAGTTAATATAGATATTATCATTACTGTATATACTAATAATAACTGTATTAAATTAAGTGCACAATACCATAATTAAATAATAATTAAAGTGCACATTTTCTGAAACAAAAAAGCGCACCATAAAAACATTCCAACACTTAGCTAAAAAAAAGTAATAGAAAACAACAATTCACCCTTGTGACAACACTAATGGAATTTAAGCATTTGTGACTTTGTAGGACAAAGGCTGGGAACACTACGGAGTTCAGCGTCCTTCACAGTACTGCCTGGAACACAATGTCCATACAGGTATCCGGTTACGCTCTGATCACTTTGTTTAACTGCTGCCACGCAGCGTAAAGTTAATCACTCAGCAGGAGATCATAGTGAGTTGCAAACTTCCCCCCACCAAGAACAGGCAACACCATGACACGGAAGCACAACTGGAAGCCAACTGAAAAACTCATCTGGAACATGGCAGCCAAGTCACTAAATTAATCGTGTTAAGCACTGGCTACCTTTTGCAAGCTGTTCACAGATTTAATCCCATACATAGCACATGGCCATAGACCTTTACAAAGGTAACAGTACCAAAAAATGTGTCTATGACTGACTGGAAAAAGGGACCTAAATCCTTCCCAAAAAGTGATGAATTCTTATGCTTTAGTGTTTTTTATGCATATAGAAACAGTCATTAAGCCAAAAGAATGACAAGATAAAAAAATTCCCATATGGTGTCACTGGGGTGCATGTTCAACAGACTAGAAAAGTAATTTTCTTTTACTATTATTCTCCAACCGTATCAAGCCTTATCCAGTCAGCAATTCAGCCAACTCCTTTTCATCCACATAGCAACCAGCCACAAATGGCAGAAGCTGTGAATCTGTAGGTTGATCTTAATTTATTTCCAGCCAACAGTATACATGCTGAACTTCAATGCATTTACATTACTTCGTTTTGAGAGCTAGATAAGAAACTCAAAATATAAAACAGTTAGGATGGTAAGCAAAAATTTTAAAGAAATCCATCACCACATGAGTTCTTTAAAAGCACTGATAAGATTTTTCTGTTATTAAAAAAATATGCCTTTTCCCAGCTATGATTTCACTAGACTGGGAGTGAGGAGTAGAGGTCTCTTAATATCAATGTGAGAAGACTGGGGTTATTCCAGCACCATTAGACATAATCTAACTATATCCTCTTCCCTTTATTCCAGTAGTTTCTAATTC